AAGTTGTCTTCTATTGGCTTCCACGACATCAGAGTCTTCTGATTCTATTTTTGATCATTCATTCTTGGTCTTGTTTTTCCTAACCTAATCATCATTAAATATTAGTTTCTCAGTAAATGCATCTGAACAGAACTTTCATAACACTGGAAGATGAAGAAGAGAGAGAACCGATGAGTTAAATGATAAGTCATGTGCACACACAGAGCCCTGGAGGTCCTTCCCTGGAGGGCCAGCTTCACGGGCAGGCAACCTGTATAGTCATTTAGGACTCCATGCTGGGAAGGGCTCCATGCATGCTTTGAAGCTCTGTTGTCAGTGTCTTGAAATTAATAATTTTGGCTTTGAACTTGTGTTTTGCAAGTTAAGGTTATTAAGACAATGGAATATATACAAGAATAGAGGCAATGTCCTGATAGGCAGTAATTTTTGTGCTTCAGTGGTCCAGCAGCAACTTACATATGTGTAGGCTCACTCTCCAGGCCCAGAAAACAGCACACACAAAGCAGTGCGTAAACACCAGTGCCTGGGACAGTCCAGAGATGAGAGGACGGAGGAAAACGAAGCCAGCTGGGACCTGGGCACAGAATGGTGGTAGTAGTGGCAGCAACAGCAGCACCAGTGGCAGCAGGGATGCCAGGACAGGAACTGCTGGTGCATGGGTAATAAATTTCAGCAATACATTATAAAATCTTCAGTTTTATAAACTGCTCAACCTTGCAAGACAAATATATCCACAGGCTAAGAAAGAGAAAATAAATTTCAAGATTGTTGCATTTGATGGAAAATAACACTATTATCATATGAAGTGTTGGATAAACTAAATATTAATGAGGCAAACAATTTTAAAATTAATTCGTTCCTGTAATTGAAGATACAGCAGGAGAATGCATAACAGATGTTTTGAAACATATTCAAATTAGGAAGTTTCTTGTACAACCTCTACAAGTTATGGAAAATGTCAGAGAAAATCTTAAAATGCCATTGTATAAATTTGCTTTTAATATTAAATTCAGACTTACATAAAATTGATTTGTACGAAGAGTTAAATCTTTTCCTACAGAATATAAGAGTAGTCAGCTCAAGATGAACTAAAATTTATATTTTGATATAATTTATCAGAAATGTATTCCAATATTACAGCTTATAAAATACTCTTAACAGTTCCTATAACAGTTGCATTAGCAGAAAGATCTTCTTAAAACTAAAATTATAGAAAGCTTTTGTGAGCTTGAATTTGCTATGAGTAATTAATGGTGTTTTAAACTGTAGATTGAAAATGAAGTTGCTAAAAATATAAACATTGCTAAACATATAAACCTGTAAATGAATTTGCAAAAAAATCAGCCAGAAAAAAATTTTATGAAGATATCATATTACTAGGTACTATTATATGTTGTACTGCATAAAATTAAAAAGCTTTATGTCTTAATATATTTAATGTCCTTTTGCTGTTTGTTTGAACAAAGGGCCATAAATTTTTATTTTATACTAGGCTGTGCAAATGTTGCACCCAGCCCTTGTTCTTTTCACAAGGGAAGGAGAAAGTGAAGTAGAAAAAGGCTGGGCCTTCTCTATCCTTTTCTCCCTCATTTTCTTTAACCACAGCATTTATTTTTTTATTCATATCTTATTTGGGGATCATGGTGCCAAAAGTTTGGAAACTTCCAGTTTAATCCAACCACACATAGAGAGAGAGAACAAATGAAGTCATAGGAAGGCGAAGTGAGCGTCCTGTCTTCAAAGTCTGTCTCTGATTTTCAACCTCCCACCACCATGCTGTTCCCTTGGTATCCACGACCTCATCAGGGTAACATGACACATTCCGTGACTATATGTGATACATGACCTGATGTCATCCAGGGTTATGTATGAGACCTCTTTTTCTGGAGCCCAGTTTGAAAACCCCTATTAATAGCCTACTTCAAAGCAAAAAAGTTGAAAACATTCAGCAGACCAATGCACAAATGTAAGCATCTATTTCTTACGCCAAGCGATATTCCCTAAACTTACTGCAACTTGAAAAAAATAATATTTGAGTGTCATAATTTTATGTAACATAACATATAATACTTAACAATATGATACCTCAATTATCATAAGCCATTGCTACCAATATTCTTATCTTGCAAAAGAGTTAACAGGGTTGCTGTGTGAGTTAAGAGACAAGGTATAGAAGTCACTCAGGACAGAATCTACTTCTAAATAAATGCACATGAGGCCTTAAGCTTTGCTGTGAGTTTCCAAAGAGGGTACCAAAGGCAGCTGGAATCAGGGATGTGGTCTAGTTTATCACTGGTCATCTTGGGCTCCGTTCCTAAACACCCACATGCACTGGATTTTACAAACTTGCTTGAAACGACTTGTCTACTTCTGTAATCACATTCTTTAAACTCTTATTTTCTGATCCTCTGCTAATTATATATCTCAGACCTCATGGAAATAATGTTCAGTGGCAACTACATGTAAGCGTCAGGGCTAGGTGACCTTCGTCACTGGAAACTTTCCGTTGCTTGTTTCCAATCGGACTCAGGCAGGCTCAAGGTTTAAAAAGCTCTTGATACTGTCAATTAAACCAAAAAACTGCAAATTTAAACCAAAAGACAAGGAGGGCTTTTCTCAGAAACTATGCATTAGCATTTCCATGTTTAAAATGGCAAATTTTTTAAGATGTAAATGGGTGACATCAAAGATAATATTTTCAGTGAAAAAAATGTGCTGACTAAATAAATTTAATTGTAGATCATGTTCTGTAAACTGTCTCCTTTAATGCGTACCCCTCCCTGGGAGCTCTCAAAACCAGAGAATTCTCAAATTCAGTACCTGAATTTTGCCACCAAATTATGTACACCCTTTCCAACTCCCACACCCCGAATATAAAGAGCCCCAAATTTGCCTATCAGAGTCTAAGTACATCTTAAAGGTCAAGGAAGGCTGGCTAATTCTCTCCACGTGGACAAAGTTGTTGCAGCTGGGAGCTCAGGTGAGCCTCCAGGATCTCTGTATACAGAACAGCAGAATGCCACTTTCCCCCAGCACCCATTCTGTTGCAGTCTTTGAGAAATGTAAGTCTAGGATTGAATAGCAGAAAAACACGGAGGACAAATAGCTAAATAATAACACTAAGAGCTACTCGGAACTCCTCAGTAAGCTGTTTTAAATTCGAAAGTTGTGACCTATGGCAAAGAGACTTTTTTTTATAGTCAGTGGTCTCTGAGTGTAGTAAATAGCCTTTCTCTTCTCACAGTTTTACTAAGTTAACTTTTTCAAAAAATTATTTCCCTTAACCTCAGTTGACTTGAACAAGAGTCAATTATTTTCATTTCCTCTGTATCTTTGGTCATTTCCCTATTCTCATTTCTTATTTTGTGTAATTATGCTTTTCTTAAAAAAAAAACAAAAACAAAAACTAGTTTTAGGGTGGTGCCTGTGCTCACTGAGTAGGGTGCCCGCTCCATATACCGAGGGTGGCAGGTTCAAACCCAGCCCTAGCCAAGCTGCAACAAAAAATAGCTGGGCACATGGCAGGCACCTGTAGTCCCAGCTACTCAGGAGGCTGAGGCAAGAGAATCATCTAAGCCCAAGAGCTGGAGGTTGCTGTGAGCTGTGATGCCACAGCACTCTACCAGGGACGATAAAGTGACACTCTGTCTCTAAAAATATAAATAAATAAAATAAACTAGTTTTACAAAGAATAGCCCTTGAATTTATTGTTTAGCTTTATGGTTTTTCTACTAACATTTCATTAATTTTTGCTTTTTTAAATTTTTTTCTTCATTTTCCTTAGGTTTATTTCTTGTTCTTTTGCCTAATTTTTAAAAACTGATGCTTAATTCATTTGCTCTCATTTTGTCTTCCTCTGTGAGCACATTTAAGGTTGTGTATTTTCCCTTATTTGCAGTGCTAGCTGTATTCTAGAGTCCTGATATGCAATGCTTTAATAAATGATATTTGTTAGATATCCTGATGTTTTAATTTTTACTTTATCCTTAATGAAGAAATTTTTTTTTAAGTTTTAAGTCTCCAGATGGTATTATGCTTTTAAAATAAATCATACTATGAAACTTTTTGTAGAACAAAGGTTTTTTTTTTTTTTTTTTTTTTTTGGAGA